CACTACTGCTGTCACCATAATCTTTGTAGTAATACATCTACAGCTTTGTTATAAGTGGCACAGTTTGGGAGACTGTGATCTTGATGGTTAATAACCAAAACATTTGGTAGTTTTTGTAGAATCATAGATTGTTTTTGCCTTGAACTTGGAAGCACTGAGACCATTGGACTGACACAACCTGTGAATATGCAGTGAAATCAATGCAACTGAGCATTGATTTACTGTACAGACACACAGTTGGCCAAGCTGTCTCGGATTCACACCTCATGTACTTCAGGACCAGTTTGTACATAACATACATGATGCATTCTCAGATACGCGTACAAAAATCTTCAAATGCTATCTAGACATATCTTCCGTATGGAAAAAAAATCTGGAGGCAAATTTGGGCATATGGAAGATAAAGCTTAACTCAATCTGTATGTGACTATCAGTTCTGAGTATAATAGATTAAGACCTGCTTAACAGAAAACTTCTGTCTCTGTATCTCAATTAAGAATACATTTCAAAGTGATATGCTAGGCCAGCTCTTATTACAAAAGTAAGTAGCTTAGTGTAAAGTACTAGACAATTCATTCATGTGATGTACATAATAAACATTTTTATTCCCAACATAACTATGTCTATACTTGCTGCTGTTTTTATTGTTTAGGAGAGTGTGGGTTGTTGTGGTTGGTTTTTTATAACATTAATTGTGCTAGTTAAAAATATTAGCCTTTTTAGATTAACACACAGCAATTTAAAATTTGACTTTGGATTTTTTGACATTAACTTGTAAATATTTTATGCTAGAAGTAATACCAAATATGTGCAAGTTTGCAGGACTAGGGTCTTATTTAGTTGTATGTAGCACTGAGCTGGAAAACAGCCTTTACAGTGAATCTAATTGGGCATCACTTTCTGATCATCAAATAGGCAAGCATAAGGCCAAACATAACAGTAAAAGGATTCAGTTAGCACTCTATGCAAGCCTTGTTCCTGCAGTGCCATTTTCTTCCAGGTTATTTATGACTACTGAAATCAGTTGACACCCTGCATACAATACTAAAAATCACTTTAGACAAACTTTTCGGCATCACACTGATTCAGGAAGGTGTGGTTTCCCAGAATTTTTTTCTGTATATGCAATGAAATCATATCTAGAATATCTTTAGTATTTTTAATATAGCGACAAACATTTGAGGTTATTTAAGTGTGGAGAAAGTGTTAGGGCAACTCAGTCTGAAGTACCTGAAGGAGCAGTGTGTTTGTTCCAACAACTGACAGAATTTTGGAAGTATAATGAACAAGTTGAACAACATGTTGGGATTTGAATGTTAATTACACTTTATTCTTGGAAGCATTTAAAAACAAAATATGTTTTAAAAAGAAAGGAAAAAAGCAGGACATCTAAAAACACATACAGGATGAAAAAATTCTCTGCCAGGAGAAATCCAAAGAACACTTTTTGAAAGCAGGCCTAGAAAATGACTAAACTAAGTTTGAAATCTAAGAGAAACTAAGAACAGGGCAAAAAGAGTGTTTGGGGGAAAGGAGAGAAATTGTTTTGTTAATGTCTAATTTCTGTAGTGAAAAATTAGTCAAAAATCACAAACAGGTTATTTGAAATTATTATCAGTAATTATTCATTATCTTCATGAAGTTGCAGTTTATTCTTTTATTCTGCATTCTCAGTTGCCTTGCATTCCTGAGCAACTGCATAGGAAAGACTCTCTGCTAAAAACTTCTTTGAAATTGTATTTTGTAATCCTTTATGCCCTACATATTTAAATTTATTGTATAATTTAGCACAAGCAATTTTAACTCAAAGAAAATAGTTTACATGAAATCAAGAAAAGCAAATCCACAAGTTTTTCTAAATGCAAAATCAGCACCTTTATAGCAAAAGTTGCTGTCAGAAAGGATGGTTGTGAAAGTTCCAGCTACAACATTATCTCAACTATCAGACAAATATATTCTACATCTGCTTTTCTGACAAAACCAGAAACAGCTAACAAAGCGTAGTGCAATAACATTAGCATCAGTGTTCAAACTCTAGCCTGTTACATTTCATTTGTGGGTTTCAGGTAGAGTAGACATGGCACTAATATTAAGGCTCCTGTGGCTTTCATTGTAATCCTTTGACAACGCTATAACCCTTGAAAACAAACATAACTGCTGAAGCTAAGTACTTTTTGGAAGTTGACCCAGTAAAGACAAAGCCTACAATGAGGAGGATAATGAAATTAGTTCGGCAACGTTCAACATAAAGCAAATGGTAAACAACTACAGATATTCCATGATTTAAAGAACATGAATTTTAATGGCCACCTAAGCATAGGATCCAAAAGGGATCTTTACCAACCTGCATGAAAGATTCACCTGTCTGATCAATTTAAGAATCCTAGAAGTGGTTTGTAATAAACATGTTATTCCTCCTGAATAATCTAAGAGTGTATGACACACTTCAAAGTCTGAGTCCATCATGCTGATGCGAGCTAGCTGCTCAGAACTGAATAGACAAAATAAAGCATAGTGTTCCTTATAGCCCTGCATTATTACAAGATGTGATTTTTCTGTCAGTAACCATTCATGATAATATACCGCAACTGTCAGAAAATTATGGCAGAGTCAGCAGTTTTCCTTCAGTATATTCACGAGCTCCTGAATTTACAGTAGGCATATTTTTTTCAAACAACACTTTCACGTAATGAAAAATGATTATTCATGTCAACCAAGATGACTAACATATTTGTATTGTACTTGCCACTTGTTTGGCAAGGATCAGGAGTCATTTTCAATTCTACGTATATATGAACTTCAAGTCATTTACACTAATAACTATATGAAAGTAACATTTAAGGCACCTTTATTATGTTTCTTCCAGCTGAGTTTGAAAGGTAGAGAGCATCTCCAACCATTATTTACAGATATCAAAAGAATTTCAATCAGTTAAACAAAAAGCAGCTACAGTAGCAACTCCTGGATGTTGCATACTGAGAATAATTGTAATAATGTTAATTATATCTGCAAACTTCAATGAACACTGGATCAAGCCCAATATTTTACTTTATAAAAATCTTTCATCTTCATTATTATATAAATGTCTAACATACATTAAAAGTATCACAATTGTACTAAAGATTACCACAGGCCTCCAAAGAAGAAATTAAGGAATTGATTTGAAAGGGGGCTACAAATTTACTGGAAATTTTGTAATATTTTATAATTTTATCCATTGAGTAAACATGGGATGAAAAACAAAGCATATCTGTCATATATATAAACATTGGGAAAACTGTACTCACTCAGATATGTTATCCTAGCACAAAAGTTAGGTCAACAGCTTCAAAATGACCATGTAAAATGGTTCTCATGAACACAAAAGAGATCAGTTAAAAGGAGAAAGCACCACTATTTCTTAGCCATTTTTGTTACAAATCACTCTTTACTGGGCAGCAGTAAAGTATTTAAAGAAGTAGGGATTTTCAGTTGAAATTCCAGTTGGGAGTCTAAGGAATATTCTATATTTTGAAGATCACAAAGTGCTCTAGAAGTACTGTTCTAGTTTGAAGGCTAGATTTTTATTCCAAAGGTGCTACATGGCATATTTTCTTAGTAAGCCGCATAATATTATTTGTAGCCATGCTCCAAGACAACATGATAAACCTGCTCTGGTCCAGAGAACAGGTCACCTTGACCTGATTCATCTCCTATTTCATTATAATGCTAAGTAAAACAAGTGCACTTAAACCTCCTCTCAAGATGAGTGAAACTATTTACCAAATTGCTTATATAAATCTGTTGCATTATGTTGAAAAGCCTGCCGAACTTAGAAGGTCAGAAATAGCAAGTGGAAGGTTGTTTTGCAATTTGACTTCTGTTTTCTCAAGCTTGAGCATTACTTTACAGACTAAAATTATGATCTCCCTCCTTATTTACAGAATAGATCCACTGAAAATTAATAAACAGCAGGTTCATGGTATGCCCAGAAGCTAAAGAAACTCAAACTTCTGAGCACTACCCAATGAAGAAAGTTCCAAAGTCAGAACAGTCTTCCACCAAATTCCTCTCCCTCTCTACAGGTGGGTTTAGTTGCCTCCATTGATCACAACCACGGCAGGAAGATCTGATACAGACCCTTTAATACAGAAGTTCCAGACTATTTAGTACTTAATATACTAAAAATATCTTACAATAAATTGTTATTAAATCTTAAATATACATTTTGTCAAACAATTTGTGGTACAGCCAGGGATTTAAAGTGAGGAAGTTAGTAAGGGCACATACTCTGCCTATTCTGTTCAAAGCAGAAGAAAGCTTTACTTCCTCTTCAAAGTCTGGCTACACAGCACTGCTCAGCTCCCATTTTTCTTCTGCGTCTCAGGGAAGACTACTCTTCTGCTGAAATTCATTTGTACTTATCTCAGTTTACTCTGTTTATTTGAGGTAAGTCACCAACTGCTACTGACCTTGAGATACATATTTTTTGTGTCTGCAGCTAAGAATTGCAATTGCTCAGGAAATATAAATGGAGAAACCATAATTACTATTACCATCCTTACCAACAGCAAAGAATGACAGAAAGCTGTCAATTGTGAGGCTAAGCTAGACACTTTTACAGTCTTATTTGCTGTTAACAGAAACAAATGCAATCAGCAAAGAACTTCAAAACAGAACTTCAGGTAAAAGAGTAGCTAGATCATGATGGTTTTAGTGGCAAATAAAAAAAGCAGTGTTTGGATCCATTTCAGGCCAAGGCTAAAAAGATTCAGATACTGATATGATGGGACCCATTAAGCTGTTTCCAAGTTCAACTACTGCCAGATTTTTAGAAGCAACCAAGTTTAGCAAATACGTCCCTTTTAGTTTTTATTCTAACAGACAGATGAGTTCCGATATTGGAATACCAGACAAAGGGCATATCCTGAAGGGATTTCCATGGCAATGTTTTCATCTTCGCTCATCTTTAGACAACAGGGTGGGAAATCTGCAATGGATTTATGGCTGATGATATTTAC